TATATATATATATATATATATATATATATATATATAGAGTTAGCCAAACAAAAAAATATGAGTAGTAAGGATTTAGTTCAAGTGAAGTGTATTATGGATGAAGATAAAAAAATATTTTTCTTAGAAGATTATATTCAACAAAGGTGGATGAGATATATTGCTAAGCTTTTTAATGAAGAATGTGAAAATACGATTGACTTTAGTAATCTTAGCACCTTAAATGAAGATAAAGACTTCTGTTTTTATCGGCATATTAGTAAAACTGAAGTTAGAGAAGCTTTAAAGAAAATAAAGTGTGGAAAAAGTGTTGGACCTAATGATATTATAATAGAGGTGCGGAAATGCTTAGGAGATGAAGGAATTTCTAAGCTTACTAAACTTTTTAATACTATTTGGAAGACTAAAAAATGCCAGAATAGTGAAAAATGACCGAGTTAATTCTTATTTTTAAGAATAAAAGTGATGCACAAGATTGTGCGAATTATGGAGGAATTAAGTTAATGTGTCATACTTTAAAACTATGGAAGCGAGTTATGGAGCGTAGGTTGCGGCGTGATACTAATGTTTCTCAAAATTAGTTTGGATTCATGCTGGGTAGGTCTATTATGGAAGTCATACATTTATTGAGAGGTTTGATGGAGAAATATAGAGAGAATGAGGAACTATATATGACATTTATTGATTTAGAGAATGCATATGATAAAGTTCCAAGAGAAGTGCTCTGGAGAGTTCTTGAAAAGAAAGGAGTTAATAACACTTATATTCAAATCATTAAAGATATGTATGTAGGAGTTATTACTTGTGTTCAAACACAAGATGGTTTGACCAAGTATTTGCCTATTTCGGTTGGATTACATCAAGTGAGGGGATTGTGACTTTGGGCGATCAAGTCATTAATAAGAGTACACGTTTTAGATATCTTGGATCTATTGTTCCAAGTGATGGTGAAATAGATGGGAATATTATCAATAGAATTCAAATTGGATGGTTGAAGTGGAGGAATGCATCGGGCTTGTTGTGCGATAGAAAAGTCCCCCTCAAACTTAAGGAAAATTTTTATAAGATGGTGGTGAGATCTGCAATACTTTATGGTGCCGAATGTTGGCCATTAAAAGAGAAGCATAATACTAAGCTAAGTGTTACAGAGATGAGGATGCTTAGGTGGATGAGTGGATTTACCCTTAGATATATGGTACGAAATGAGCATATACGTGAAAAGGTTGGAGTAGCTCCAGTGGAAGATAAGATTAACAAGAGTCGCCTTAGATGGTTTGGTCACATAAAACAGAGGCCTTCTGATGACCTGGTTAGAAAAATTGAGGTATTAGATTTGACTTATGCTAAGAAAGATAGAGGTAGACCTAATAAGAGTTGGTTAGAAAATATCAGAAATGATCTTTCTTTATTAGATTTAAATGAGAATTTGACTTTTAACAAGACACAATGGTGAAAAAGGATTCATGTAGCCAACCCCTCGTAGTGGGACAAAGGCTTGATGTTGTTGTTGTTGTGGTTGTTGGTTGGTTTACATCAAGGATCAGCCTTAAGCCCGTATCTTTTTGCTTTAATCATGGATTTTCGCACTAGACATTTGCAAGAGGATATAAATTGATGTATGCTTTTTGCTGAGGATATTCTTCTTGATGACAAGACTAAAGAGGGAGTTGAAGGTAAAGCTGAATTATAGAGGTCGACTTTAGAGTCTAAAGGTTTTCGCTTGAGTATATCTAAAACTAAATATATGGAGTGTAATTTTAGTAGTAATAGACCAAGTGAGGGGATTGTGACTTAGGGCGATCAAGTCATTAATAAGAGTACACGTTTTACATATCTTGAATCTATTGTTCAGAGTAATGGTGAAATAGATGGGAATATTATCAGCAGAATTCAAGTTGGATGGTTGAAGTGGAGGAATGCATCGGGCTTGTTGTGTGATAGAAAAGTCCCCCTCAAACTTAAGGGAAAATTCTATACGATGGTGGTGAGACCTGCAATGCTTTATGGTGCCGAATGTTGTCCATTGAAAGATAATCATAATGCTAAGTGTTCAGAGATGAGGATGCTTAGGTGGATGAGTGGCTTTACTCTTAGAGATAGGATACGAAATGAGCATATACATGAAAAGGTTGAAGTAGCTCCGGTGGAAGATAAGATTAGAGAGAGTCGTCTTCGATGGTTTGATTACATAAAACGGCGGCCTTCCGTGACTCGATTAAGGAAAGTAGAGATATTATATTTGACTTATGTTAAGAAAGGTAGAGGTAGACCTAAAAATACTTTGTTAGAAAATATTAAAAATGATCTTTCATTATTATATTTAAACGAGAATTTGAATTTTAACATATACAATGGAGAAAAATGATTCATGTAGCCGACCCCACGTAGTGGGACAAAGGCTTGATGTTGTTGTTGTTGTTGCGGTATCATGTATAAAACAAGTGGTAAGAAAAAAAATTATAGGAGACAATTCCAACCAAAATAATAAATTGGGATGCTTATAGAACTGCGGTGGGAAGCAGTAGGAGTAGACACGGTGGTCGTAGGTGCTGGTCAAGCAAGGAGCGAGTGGTATAAAGCGTTCTTACCCAAATTGGGCAAGAACGCTTTACCTCAAAAATGAACTAGAATGAAATACATTGCATTACTTTACCTTGGATTTGTTTTTCATTCGACCAAACACCCAAAAGTTCAAAACCTATGTATTAGGAATGCAATGCATTCTCTTTCTTCCAACCAAACAACCCCTTATTATTTTTATTCTTTTCCTTTTCTTATTAACATTTTAAATCCTATTAGATTGCACTTGGTGCATGTGTAATTAAATAATATTAAAAATAACTTCTTATATAATTAATAAACAATTTTGAAATGATGATTATAAATCAATAAATACTAATTATAATAATTGTAATTATATTACATTTTTTAAAGAGAGAAAATGAGTTAATTTATATAACAAAAGCATGAAAAGAATTAAGGATATGAAACACACACAAACACATATATATATATATATATATATATATGTGTGTGTGTGCGCGCGCGCGCGCGCCCAATAGGAGAAAGCCCATTCTCAGCCAATTTTTTTTATCTTTAGATTTTAGATAGGATTGTCATATACATACATATATATATCATAGCTTAATTAAGGCAAGTAAAGCGCTCTCTGGCTTCAGGAGCTTCCCATTAGATCCAAAGATGAGTAACCATTGGTAATCGATATCATTGACAATGATGCAAGCAACTGGCATAGAGGCAGTGTCCAAAAGCTAGACATCGAAAACAACATTTTCCTCAACATGGAATTGGATTCAGCAGACAAAGTGGCGATGCTGATTGAAGTGGTCATTCCAGATGACATTTTAGGAGGGGCAGAGTGTAGGACAATGATTTTTCTAGACTTTTTCTCATGGAGTTCAACTCAATTTTTTTAGATAAATAAATGCAACAAAAGAAAATTGACATGTGGCACAAATTTTATTAACATGATTATATTATTTACTTTTTTAATATTTCTTAACATATTACATGAAGCGAGTATCTCTACATGCTTCTACTGTGTGTGTGCGTGTGTATATATATATATATGCTTGTTTATTTCGCTAAATTCTACAGAAGTACTCCTGAGAAAAATAACACTTGCATTTTCTGTTTAACTTTAATTTTATGTTCATATTCCTTCTAAAAATTTTAGAAACGATTCCCTTTTTTATGTTATTTTAACTTTTTAGGCATTGATTGACATTTCATAATTGTAATCGTCTCCATCGAAATGATCTCCAACACTATCTGTTATTGCTATTATCTACAAGTTCAAAATTTTTTATGATTTCATTTTTCCTTGTAAGTGGCATTTAGTCACACTTAAATAGCATTTAGCATTTTCTCCCATCATAGTTGGATAATTTCATGTAATTGAGCTTATGATACATATATTGCTAAATTTCTTTATTTCAATCCTCATCCTGGACAACTTGGTAGTATCAACATTTTTTAACACTAGGCTGACACTAAATGTACTTTTCTTTCTCAGATTTCAACCGTTGCATTCAAATTTTCTTGATGTTTTTGCAAACTTATTTGAATTGAAGAAAATGCTTCATGTAATATGCCATAAGTTTTTATTACTTTCACATTCACTTCACTTCAATATTCTTCCATAAATGATAAAATTATGAAAATGCTCTAGCATTTGTTTTTCTTTTTTTTTTCTTTTTTGTAATTTCATTTATTATAATCATTTTCTCAAAAGTTCCTATTTTTTATATACTCATAAAAAACTTCATACCAAATATCACTACTATCCCTTATTTTGCACGCAAATATAAAGCCTATGCAATCAGCTAGTTTAACTCTTCAATGAATTGCATGGTGTTTCTTGTGATGCAGGAGGCTTCAAGCAGAATAACTTCTTCATCTGTTTCTTTTTAGGGAAAAACATACACGAAACATACCGATTTTTTATGATAGAAGATAAAGTATCTTAAATTGTCAATAACATTTTCAATTTCCTACAGCACCAATAAACAATGAGCAAAAATAAAATCTTAAAGAAAATGTGAAAAATATCAGCACTGCAGTAAAAGGAAAGTGCAATTTCATACTTACAGCGCAAGTATAGATTGATGGCATGGCTTAAGAAACCACTGCCAGGAACTCCATTCAAGAGAGAAGTTATTGGAATAAATGACATTGATATAACATCTGGTTCGTACTGAACAGTGTTCAACCATTCATAATGTGGTAAGTCCTTATTATCATTCCCACCTCTCCTCTTAAAGATTCTCATGATGTCCTGAAACAAAGATTCAGGCATATCAACTTGCAAGATAGCCTTCTAACCAAAGATCAGTAAGATCATGCTTTACTGAATAATATAGTACCTCCTTTGTTGCATAAGAACTCGACGGACTGGAGCCTGCAAATCTTAGTCGTTGTTCTTTAGCTTCAAACTGCAGTAAATTCATTTGTAAATTAATGTGCCAGTAAATTATGATTCAAATACAACTTCCAAGTGACGTTAGACAGGGTTATAATACGCATTATTGCATGGCTTAACTATACTGAACATCTAATAACTCTACATATTAGACATGAAGCTGAAACAATAAATATTGCAAATCAATTGGAAGATAAGTATAAAAAGAGGAAAAAAAAACACGCATCCTTGATGAGCCTTGATCCCAATGAGAAGCCAAGCTATCCAATACTCAAATTCACCACTTCAGTTTTAGCATATTTTTTGAGTCACAAGTTCAAAAAAAAAAAGAATGTAAAAAGGAACGCAGATGCACCATACTTTATCATAAAACTAGCAAGGGCCTTGGGCTCTTTAAACAAAATAATTCTCACAGTAGGAACAGAAGTTGCAGAACTGCTTTTTAAGTTTTAACTATTCTCAGCTACATCTGGAGTAGTCGATCAGCAGCCATGTTCTCATAATAAACAAAATAGCAATGCAGAGAAACCTGGGACATATGAGCAGGGGCTAAAAGCATAAACAGGCTTACTGTTGTACAGTGAAAAGATTAAAAAAGAATAAAAAAGTCTAGGAAGATATTTAGTAGGAAGCCAGAACAGGCTTACTATTGTACAATACTTCCATCTCTTCATCAGACTAAATCAAGCAAATACATCCAGTTCATGCACTTGATGGCGGCAAACTCCATTGGCCAATGCGCAACTCCAAAACCACATAATTGTTCACTCTTCAAAAAGTATTAGCATATATTAGTCCCTCCATTCCCCATTCGACCTAAGCATTCTATTTTGTCATGCCCATCACGATGCAAGGTTAAGAACATCATTACTCCTCTTAAAACTACACAACTGCAGTTGTAACCCTACCTTTTTTTTATTTTGCATAATTCTCCCAGATATTGAAAAGGGCATGCTGCTGCATATTTAGCTCATCACAAGTGTATTTTCCATTGCATTACTCGGTCGAATAGATAACTTAAGCAGATGCATTTTAGGTTGCATTCTTCAGTACAGCAGATACAGTAAAATAAGCTGTGATTAATGGATTAGAGCACTCTTTGTTTGCGACATATGAAATGGGACAGGTTTTGAAAACTAGCTAATATGTTTCTGCATCCTAACCTTTGAATGTCGTGCATTCTGATGGGGACCAACATTCAAAATGTTAAAGTTGGTTTGCTCATGTTTTTGGTTCTAACGGAATTGTCCTAGTTTACTCAAACTTAAAAAACAAATAAATATTCATGACAGGATTAAGTATGCTTATTTATAATATATTTATATGACAATTATGAATTTTGAATATTGAATGGATAGCCGCATTGAGCCAATTGACCAGTTCATATATCAAAAGTGGTACAAAAACAAAACTGAGTAAAGAAAGTGTTACTTTTGCCAAATTTGGTCAATGAAACTGTGATCTATATTTCTATTAAAAAGAATTTTGTTATTCCAACTAAGGATATGTCCAACCCTGCATATTAAAAAGATAATCTGGACCATTCATTTATATAATTTACTAGAAATTTTAATAAAATTTGCTATCATCATAATCTACAATGGCATTATCCAAACTATTGAGGTAGCTTTATGAATCCTTATTTTCTATTCAAACTTATGGAACGTTTAATTAGATGTTAAATCTATTCAACAGAAATAACATCTTTACTTAATAAGGTAAGTTATTCACAAAAGCATGTTTTAAAATTATAAAAAATAGCAATAACGCTTTTAGTTGTTTTATGGGTTTCAATTTTTTCTCTATCCCCGTGAATGAATATTAAGACAAGTAATATGTTTTCGGTAACTGGCTTACTAAAACTAAATTAACCACAGCCTGATAACCCTCCTCCCAAGTCGAATTGTACATGCACGAGCCAGTTTTCTTTCACGATTATAGCTCATTTGGTTGCTTGTTGATAAAATATATGTTTTAGAAATTGTTGGCTTTGTTTTCACTCGTTTTAAGTTTGAAATTGTCTTCCTTATTTGGTTGCTGATGGCCAAATAGGGCTCATTTGAAGTGCGTTTATAGGCTCGTTTATTTCCTACTTGTATGTATATTTTATTTGGAGAAATACCCATGAAGTAGCATAACTTTTTTTAGTTTCCGATCCTTTAAACTCACTTCAGTCACTTGGCTGTGGAGTAGCATAGTATTTGCAGGTATTCAAACTGTTTCACTTATTATAACTCTTTTTTATTTTGTCTGCAAGGGTCTTAATTCACTGGAATACAAGGTTTGAATTTTTTTTTGCTTTTTGTTATGTTCAATATGCCAATCTTCAACTGGCGTTCATTCAAATTTATTTAGTTCATAGCGCTCGATTCATTTTTTTTAATGTTATAGATTGAATGAATTTTGAGATATTTTGAATTTTTTCTTAATTATGCTTATATGTGTTGATCAGTTTGTCCATGCACTAATTTTAAATATGAATAGTTTAAGATTGTAGGTTTTTGAGATATAGTCATTTTATACGCAATAATTTTAGGATATTAAATTATTTCAAAGAGAGATTGAAAGAGATGTTTTTGCAAGTATTTTTCACTGTTGGTTTTTTTTAAAAGAATGTAAAATCTAAGATGACCCTTCTCATTAAATAATTTTAGGTTATTTTTTATTGTTACTTGTTCCTTGCTACTACATACATGAAACATTCAAGCTTCACATTGATAGAATGACGTTTATCTAATACGTTTTTTTAAAAGGCATGTCAAAAAATTTACCTCAACAGCTTAATTCTATAGAGCCGATGCCCAATCTTCCACAACTACCAATGCATGATAGTTAATTTAGTGTAAACTGTCACATCCAAAAGTAATAGCTGAAGATGATCAAAATGAAAATCACTTTGCAAAAAACTAAGAAAGAAGACATCTTCAATATGGCAAGAATTTACTGTAGTAAAACCAAGTGATGGTAGAAAAAAGGTGCAATGTAATCATTGTAAAGTTAAGCTCAAAAAAATATCAACGTCACTCAGTTCACTGTGGACGAAGAGTTATGTCTTCTAAAGGAGGACAACTAAATGTCTCTATGAAACCATCACTACCATCAAATAATTTTGATCATGGAAGTAATAGTGCTGTCAATTGGAAATATGATCAAGGAATGATATGTGAGTTGATCTCACACATGGTAATGGTGCATGAATTACCATTTAATTTTGTTGAATGTGAGATGTTCAACACAACGATGAAAGCTGCTTGCCCACGTTATGAGAAAATTTAAAGAGAAACATTGAGAAGTGACTGCATAACAAGTCATGAGATAGGAAAGAAAAGTTTGAAAATTTCAGTAGATACAATTAGTAGAGTAAGTGTGACAACTGAGTTATGGAAGTCTGGTCAGGACATTCACTACGTGGTGTTGACATGCCACTTCATTGATGCGGATTGGAATCTCCAAAAGAGAATTCTGAATTCTGTTGATATACCTTCACCTCATAAGGCCACCAATATACATGATGTATTGTACAAATGCTTGAAGGATTGGTGGATTGAGAATAAAGTCACTACCATTACTATGGACAATGCAGCGTACACTACAACAGTAGTTAACATGTTGAATACCAGCCTTGAGTTTCACAAAAGGCTTCCTCTTAGTGGCAGGATATTTCATGTGCGTTCTTGTGCACATATATTAAATCTGTTGGTTCAAGATGAGATTCTGGAGATAAAAGATACCATCAACATGGTTAGGGAGAGTGTGAAATATGTCACTGCTTCACAGCAGCGCATAAAAATGCAACATATTAAATGTTGTCAACTGCGTTAGAATTTAGACAGGTATTCCTTAAATTTCAAGATAGTGACTCTTCCCATACATCTTACCCAAGTGAGGACGAATGGAGAAAGATGAAGGATGTATGTTCCTTGAGGTTTTTAATCCAGCTACATAATTGATTTCAGGTATGTAATTCAAGTTTTTGTTCACTGCCTTTTATTTAAACCTAAGTTCAGAAGATATTAAATATGTATTTGGTTAAATTTTGTAGGTTCTAAGTACCCCACCTCTAACTTATTCATGTATGAACTGTGGGGGTTAAAGAAATGTTAGATGACAGCTGTTTGAGTGGACATGCACATATTAGAGGAATGGCAATGAAAATGAAAGAAAAGTTTGACAAATATTAGGGTGATTGTAACATAATCTCATTAGGAGTCATTCTGGATCCAAGAAACAAAATGAAGATGATACACTTCACATATAATACACTGAAGATATAACTTAGATGCACATCAATAACATGCACAATAGCTTATATGAACTGTACAATGAATATGTAGAAGATTAGAGAAGCAAAAATACTGAGAAGGTTCCAAGTGAAGCAGGAGAATCTACTAGTTTCCTTATTTCTTCTAGGGAAAGAGGAAAGCCAATATATGGGTAGAAGAAATATGAAACTTACATTAGAACAGATTACACCAATCACACGGTGAAGTCTGAGCTAGATGTGTTGATGAGGACATCGACAGACGCTACCGACATGTTTATTGCCGTCGAAACCGCAGATCGACGGCCACGATTCAGCACCTCTACTTTTGATATTAGATGTCATGATGTATTTTATTATTATCTTATGTTATTTGCAGTCTTTCCATTTTTACCCCTGTGGGGAGTTACTTTGTTATTGTAGCCCAGAGGACAATTTCGTATTTTCTCATTGTATGAGTTGAGACCTATATATAGTGGTCTCATGTATTATTTTGAGCTTAATGAATTATTAAATGAAAATTTGATTTTGTTTCTTCTTACTCTTCTTGCATGAGAGCTAGAGAGAAGTGAGAGAGAAAGCCCAAGGTGAGGGCCAAAAGCAACACCCACCAGTCATTGGAAGAGTCTGTGGCTCGTGGTTTATCCCCTTCATCCCACTCTTCTTCTTTCTCCCCAAACCCACCGGCCCTAGGCTACTCTAAGCCGTCGGCCACCCCACCCTCCCCTTGCCGCCGGTAAACCTTCTCATCACTGGCATCCTCTTTCCCCATTCCCTACAACTCCCAATTTCGAAAATTCAAGATTTGAATTTCGAAAACTTTCCAAATTTGGAACTTCCAAATTAGAAAAGTTTTAAATCCGCTTTCATAACGAAATTCAAATTCAAAGGATTTCATTTTAATCCTTCCTAAACGTCATGAGCCAATTTGGAAACCAATCACTTGCTCCCCACACAAAATCCCTCCCCCATGAAGCCGCCGGCCACCATGGATGGGCCCTTACTCATGCCACCAATTAATGCATTAATTATCCCATTAATTTGAAATCAATTTCAAATTAACCCCCCTCCAATTTTGTTCAAAACTCCGAGTCAAATTTCAGGTTTTTGAATTCACATGCTCCCTCTCTCTATTAAGCCGCCGGCCTCCTCTTTAATGGGCCACATTAATGCCCATTAAGTGCCCCTTAATCCCCTTAATAATTTGAAATCAATTTCAAATTTTCTTCCCTCCAATTTACTCAAATTCTGAAATTAATTTCAGATTTGTGTAACCCCCTTCCTCCCTCCTCCTAAACCTAACTTCTTCCCAAAACCACGCTCCTCCTTCCTTGCACCCGCCGGCCTCACCTCCTTCCCCGGGAAATCCCGCCGCCCTCTTGCTTCTCCCATGAGTTGAGAAGCCACGGAAAGGAGCCGACGACGCCTTCCCCTCTCCAATTCAATGTTGAATGGCGGATCCCGAGTTTGAGTGGGGATTAGTATTTGACGCCGACGGAAGCGCATCAATATCTTCCGATCTCCGTGCTTTGACGTAGGATTTGAAGACGACGCCACAGTTGACGAATACTTGGAGCGAGTCGTCCCGATTCTAGTGAGCATCATCGACCGACGATTCTCAAACTACGACTGGAGCCTCGCAAGCCGCCCACTACATCCTTCCCCACCGGCTACCTCTCCACCAACGAAGTTCTTCGGCGCCTTCTCTCTAGTGGTGATATCCGTCATCATTTGGATCTTCTTTCTCCGCTAAAGCTTACTAATACTTGAGTGAACGGCCCTCAAGGTGAAATTCTCGTTGTTAAGCGTTGGATTTTTGTTAACTGTACTTTGCATTTAAATCTCTTAGAACTTTGAATGAATTGTTTCGGTTAATTTCAATTGCAACTCTTTGGACCTAAGAAAGTTAAATTTTTCAAATTCCTAACTCTTTTTTTTTTATGTGCAAGCTTTAAATTTAAAGGAGCAAAACTTTAATCTTTTCTCTTTCTAACTTCTTGAAGTAACTCCTAGTGGTTTTCATTTCATTTGGTTCACATCATGTGTACTTGGACAATGGGGTTTTCATTGAGGCAGTTCACTTGTTTGGAATGGTGGAAGGCAAACAACCTAAAATATCATATCCTAACTAGGATGGTCTGTGATATTCTTTCAATTCCAATAACATCTATATCCTCAAAAGAAACGTTTAATGTCGATGGTAGAATGATTGATCAGTACAGATCATCTCTGCAACATTTATTATTTGGGTTATTGAAATAAGAAGTATATGTCTTTCAAAAAGAGTATCAAACAACATCGACAATTTTGAAATACAAACAATTTCATGTAGAATGACTTGGGGGTAGGAATTTCCATTGCAAGTAATATGATGCATGCTATGCTTTCATATAACAACAACAATAAGCTTTATCCTTATATGTGGGGTTGACTACATGAATAATATTTTTCATTGTCCTAGTAAGAGTCATGTTATTAGGTCTGCAAACAAACCGAGCTGAGCTGAGTATGCGTTTGCTCATGTTTGAGCTTATTTATTCTTGTGAGAAATTTTCTTTTAAGACTCATTATCCACCTTATATTAGATAAAATAGGCTTTATAAGCTCTTTATTTGAGGTTGGGAACTCGTAAACTAGGAGACGAGCTGGCAGAAAAAGCTCGTAAAAGGAGTTGATATTATTAAAAGGCAATTCATCAAACCACTATAGAGCATTATCATTGAAGGAAATTATTAGAACCCTGCATAAAATGGCATTTGAGACTATATGGAGGGACATGGTGGCATTGAATGCAATGTCTAGATGGGTGAGATCAATTGTTTTTGAAAATCTCCAATTTAATAATATCAAACTAGGGGGGAACTCCTTCATGACCTCAGAAAAGAATGCAAAAACTGCACTTTTACAAGTATTCGTCAGTGAAGCAGACGGTCTCCTTCAATCTTTGAGGAGAAGAGTATGGATGTTATAATGAAGAGCAACATTGTGGTTATGCACAAGTTCAGAAGCAGCAGTCGAAGGTAAACAATGAACATGAAAAGGTCCTTGAGCCCAATTTGGAATCTTGCAACCTCTAAGTTGAAGGGAGAATGCCATAATCAAACTAGCATAGTTTTCACTATCAGATCGAAGCTTTCATTCATTTACGAAAATGCTCAATAGTAAAATATTTTTGTTTGCATTTCCTTACTAGGGGACACCTATTGGTCAAACCTTGGCTTTTTCTCGATTTGTGAATCATTTTCCTCTAGGGGCGATGAAACCTATGCTTACCAAGCTAAAGATGTTGAAAACACTAGCTCATTAGATTAGAGTTATGGAATTACTAAAGATCAAACCAAATAAAAAAGAAAAGAACAATGATATATATAGGGAAGAGAATATTATTAACATATGCAATCATGCATAGAGATGGGGGTTAGAAAAAAAGACTGTTGTTTGTGGGGGGTTGAAGAGAGAGAGAGAGAGAGAGAGAGAGAGAGAGAGAGTAGAAGTTGCCCGAAATACTTACAAGAAGGCCAACTAAATTGGGCATCTACTAAAAAAAAAATTCAAATTTTTCATCTTGCTTTGGAAGGCATGAGTCTAGGCAGCAGTCCATCAAGGGTTGACTATCTGTAAGGTCTCAAACAAGAGTCATTACTTTCAACTTCTGAATAATTTTCAGACCATTCAACTCAAGAAAAGGTTGTTTACATTACTCCTAAAATCCTGTCAACACAACACAGGTACAGGCACCATGTGAGCATAGAACCCGTCAGGTGGAACAACAATGCTAGCCAAAGAATTTGCCATAATTTTAGGCCATACCCTGTAAGTAAATGTCCTTGCCATATGAAACCAGCTACATCAGATAGAAAACCGATTGAATTCATCGCATGCATCCGACTCGAGTTGCCTTACCCAAATGAATTACTGAGATCTGGGTGAACAAATACTTAAAGGTAACTTGTAATGCAATGACCTTCCTATCAGTGATATCATCTACAGATAGGAATGCCTATATAAATATTCCAAAAATAAAACAAACAGTGCAATAAGCTCTAAATATAGAATACTTCCTCAAGAAAATTAAACTCATTCCAAAACTATGGACAAGCATGAAATAGTACCTTGTCCTTCACAAATGCCTCTTCTGACATGCTAAATTGCAAGTTCACATCCAGAAACCTTTTGTCAGCCATTTCTTTTAATCTTCGCTGAACTTCAACAGGTTGAAGGTTCGAATAATGCTGTTGTCTTATGTATATGACATCTTTACCTCCCATCTTCACACCAACAATAATATGGGTGCCAAACTTTTCAATAAACCTGTAATAATAGAACAAAAGAACAGTCATAATAATTTACTATTACTTATGGAATATATCATACATGATGGAAACTACACTTAAAATACAAATTCTGATGTAGGAGATTCCTACATCAATTCCAAGTTAACTACATTTATGGAGAAGATTCTGGATATGAATCTGGACAAGTATCTGATCATTCTAGAACACATTAAGAGCTTCCTAAGACCAAGAATTGCTTCAAGTATTTATTTGTTATTTGTTGATATGTTTAACACTATGTTATTAGGAAAGTCAAACACTGAGCTAGATGTTTAGGAGATGTAAGACAAAGCTTTAGTGCCTCAAACATCTCCAGGCAAGAGTCCTAAGGCGCAGCCTAGGAGAACGCCTTGCTGTAAAATGCTGTGCTTGGGCGCTCACTTTTGTGATGCAACTTCTTTTTGTTATTTTTTAAATTGCATACAACCTTATCATAAGGACTACAAATGTGTTAATGAGAAAAAAGGTATGGGTTATGAAGAATAAGAAATAAATGCTATTGTGATGCAACTTCTTTTTGTTATTTTTTAAATTACATAAAAACTTATCATAAGGTCAAAAAATATGTTACTGAGAAAGAGGGTGTGAGTTATGATTATGAAGAATATGAAATAGATAGTAATGGCAATTAGATTAGCCTTACGTTGAAGAAATGAAATAAATAGTTGGCAATTAGATTAGCCTTACGATTCGGAAGCTAATAACATAAATTTTCATCTGTTTGTTTAAATTTGAAAATTAATATTTAGGCCATGTTAACATTTTATTTTAAACAATCTATTTGGAAAATTGTGGTTTTAATGTTTGAGATGACAAACTTGAAACTGTATGTTTGGTCTATTACATTTTAACATTTTATCATGATAATTATCATATTATGTACATAATTAGTGATATTTTTAGCGTCTCATCTTGCTCAAATGAGTCAAGTTTTAAGCATTAGGCAGACATGTCGCCTTGAGGGCACCTAGCACCTTTAATAACATTGGTTTAGGTATGTTTGTTCCTAGAAAAAAAAATCATAAGTAGAAGCAACTGCAAAGCTCTTCTGTTAGCATGTGATGAAGCACTTATCATCATCCATCATCATTCTAGAACTCCATATATCATGTAGCCCAAGAACTTCCCTTGAGATTGAATCTATTAAGGAAACTAGAAATAAGTCTAGCTTGGTAGATTTTGATCAAATTCTTTGATTGAACAGCATGCAGCCTTTTAATCAATTTATGGTCTCTAGATAAATAGCTTAATAATGAGCAGGTTGGATAAACACATCCAAGAAATTAGAAACCGAATGTAATCTACAACTGACCAACCTACTGCTGATCAATCAAAATCCCTAACGTAGCTCCTTTCATATCATTGGAACCACGGCATTGCCTGTTGGTGTGATTACAGATAACATGAAGAGATTAAAAACAGGAACATGTCATCAACTAAACCTTATTATTTGTCAAAACACATGTCAAATGTTTGGCTTCATTAATCAATAACATCATAAAAAACAAAATATTTTTGGTGGCCAGAGATTTAAAATAAGAAAAAATCATAATTCAGTTAAACGATTATGCTGATAGGGTTATTTATATTTATCTTCTGTCTCTCACTAGCAATGATAGACAAAGTAATCTGCAAAAAGGGAATGGAAAAGCTAGCACTATCAGGAAGTATCCACAAGCACAGAAAATGTGACGTTCTCTGTTAGAATAGTATTAAGAAGTTTCTGACTGAGTATTTAAATATAAGCGTCACCTTGCTAAAGCAGCAGGATCCCATGATGATGGAACAGACTCTTTGACATGATCTCTTAGTTCAATGTGAGATTTTGCAAGAGCAACCGTGTAAAGGTTTATAAACCATCCATCAAATGCCAGAGCCTTGGTATTTGCGGCATCTTTCTGCCAACTATTTGAAAACTCAAACATATGATTGAACAAGCCAGAAGGAATTTTACCAGAGAGAGAAAGTTCCTGATTAAATTGCTCTGACATCTGCATAAGAATGCATATGAATTTTCAAATGGTTATTACTATAGCAATAATAATACCACAATATAATTGAATAAGCTAAACCTACTAAAAAAAGCAAGATAATTACATCTCACCAACCATGCATGTAGTTCTTATTGATTATTATTATTAGTCAATGTCACTTGTGCCTCCCATCTGAAAGTGGCAGCAAAACCAAAAAGCATGAAATTCTGTATCTTTATTATCTATCATTATCGTAAACCATTTTAACAAGAATGTTGCGATACTTTTTTAATTTTCTTCTGCTTAATATCTTACACTATTCTTAGATCTTCAACGTATACAGTAATTTTTACCCCCAAAGAGTATGCTTACGGTCAACAAAACCCCTTTTTATAAGGGATTTGAAAACCCGCCTTCTCTTTGGAAGACAGTTAGTAAAGCCACCGGAGCACTGGTTTACAGTTGGTAACTGCATTCACGAGGCTGACAGAAGATATGATTAACTCTTGCACATAAAGGCATCACAACACGCCATTTTTTTCCCTTATAATAATGATGCACAAGGGAGATCAGATACATGTATGGGAAAACAGAGTACTCACAGCCTAATGAATTACGAGATTTGATCAAAGCCAAACGGTTCCTTATGGATTGTTCCAAACTGATCTTTTGTGTCCTAACTGAATGGTTCCAATGGTAACCACTGGAAAGGCATTTCGCTACTTGTAACCATCCCCTTCTACTGCTAAGTAAGCCAACTACTTGAAGTCATCTGCCTCATCTAAGAAAGAGTGGATAGCTAAATGTGAGGAAACCTCATAGAAACAAAAAATTTCATATCTTTGAGTCACACCAATTTGTTTGGTGGTTTTGTTGGCAAATCAAATTTCGAAGACTCCAACTAGTTTTGGATCAAATAGTGTCAAAGCATCAAGTTATATATAACAACAATGTATGGCGCTGAGAAAGAAGTATAAGAGAATGGGAGAAACTCTTCTCACCCTTACTCGCTCTAGTCAAGGAGGAAGAATGGACGTGTAACAAAGAGAATAAACTTTGAAGATAATGGACTGTATGGGGTCTTGTGGAGGTGATGAGAAGGTGAGTTACCTTGGTTGCCTGAGAGCACCAAGGTAATGGTTTAATATTATTTTTACATTTATAAGTAAAAAAGGGATGATGATGAGGGCTCGGCCTAAGGCCTTTTGGAGTGATAACAACTTGTGGAGTATGGTTTGATGATTAAAATACTGGTGAAAGTAAGGTTCTCATATGCATGCAAGTCCAACGAAAAGCACACTAAGGTTTGGTGATGGCCCAAAACAGAGACCAATCTTCTTTAGTTTTGCTTGTATATGAAAAGGGAGATGAGACGAATGGATGGGAGAGGGAGATTGGAGATGGAATACAATATAAAATTATAAAAACAACTCATGGCCGTTCACTAAGCCTCTCATGAACCTGGAAGTCACTAAACCTCCTAAGTACTTTTCCACCACTAAGTGGGATGAGAGAAATTCAAAAATTAGAGAATCTTTTAACACAGCCAAAATATCATTCTTCATTGATTTCAATCCATTTTTATACATCAAGTTTACAACATTTTAAGCATTACATAACATGACCAAAAAAAAAAATTAAAACCCAAGTGCAGGGGAGGTGGTTGATCGACAATTTCTTCCAAGTGAGGTGATGGCAACTCCTTTTTGGGGTGAATGGTTGTTTTAGTTGGCAAGAGAGTGAGGTTTTCATTAACAACTTAAAATAACCACCTTCAGGCGTCAATTACATGAAGAATATAGGGGTGGAAGTTCATTGCATGATTCCATTTATTTTGGTGATTTATATTCAACTAGATGAAATTAAAATTATAACGATTATGCTGATAGGGTTATTTATATATATCTACTGTCTCTCACTAGCAATGCTGGACAATGTAATCTGCAAGAAGGGAATGGAAAAGCTAGCACTATCAGGAAGTATCCACAAGCACATGAAATGTGACGTTCTCTGTTAGAATAGTATTAAGAAATTTCTAACTGAGTGTTTAAATATAATCGTCACCTTGCTAGAGCAGCAGGATCCCACGATGATGGAACAGACTCTTTGACATGATCTCTTAGTTCAATGTGAGATTTTGCAAGAGCAACCGTGTAAAGGTTTATAAACCATCCATCAAATGCCAGAGCCTTGGTATTTGCCGCATCTTTCTGCCAACTATTTGAAAACTCAAACATATGATTGAACAAGCCAGAAGGAATTTTACCAGAGAGAGAAAGTTCCTGATTAAATTGCTCTGACATCTGCATAAGAATGCATATGGATTTTCAAATGGTTATTGCTATAGCAATAATACCACAATATAATTGAATAAGCTAAACCTACTAAAAAAAGCAAGATAATTACATCTCACCAACCATGCAAATTTGAAAGAGTTTCCAAGATTACGAAGAAAATAAATATATAACAGAAGACTAGTCATTATCAAGCTATATTTAAGAAAAGCTAAGATACATTTTCCAGACAGCTTCGACCGTATTTATATCATCATCATTGTATCTTCATTAGAAGCCTAATCCCAATATTTAGGGTTGGCTTTATGAATTCCCATCCTCCATTCAAAATTATTTTAATGGTTAAAATAAAAGTAGTATCCAACCACTGAAAAACTCTTCCCAGAATAATAATGTTAAATTAGCATCAAAAAGCTCTTTATGGCATTCATTTGGAGATAAGCATCAACTTCAAATAGGAACTCCTTTTTGTTCGCTTTTCCACAAGCATGACAGCAAAGTTTCTGTTCCCAGCAATCCTTTTACTTTATGATTCCTTCTTGTTCCAACCAAACAGCCTATACAGGTAATGTCTGCATAAGAATCACGGACAAGTGAAACTTGGGCGCATTATATTGGAGATGGAGGGTCTTCAACAAAAAGTTTTGGCAATTACCAACTTCATGTAAAACCGGGATCTATGTTTAGCAATACTAAATTACCTGGAGATGTTCCATAAAAAAAAAAAAAACTTAGAAAACATTTTCTAAAACAAGTGTCCTTCAAAAAGAAAACAAATAAGAATGGATGAAACAAAAGCTCAATTCCATTTGGTTATGTTTGAAGTTACATAATATACAAGTTTTTAATGTATTTTCCTTTTGAGAAGAAATCATCATATATGGGGGTGTGAAGTTAGAAACTGCTTTTACTTTTATAAGAACAGGACAACAAGAGAAAACTATTGCCAACAACTAAGAAGATAAGTAAACATGTTACTGCTAAAAGCCAGTACTTAACAAAAGAAATTTCATGAACATAAATGAAAACATGTTTTTAAAATGTAATTGTGGTTATGTTAAAGAACATAAAAATTTATAGCTTCAACCAAACCAAAAATGTGCCACAAAATTTAGTTTGACATATATTTGTAATGATCCAGCATCTTTATTATCTATCATTATCGTAAACCATTTTACAAGAATGTTGTGATACTTTTTTAATTTTCTTCTGCTTAATATCTTACACTATTCTTAGATCTTCAACAGATGCAGTAATTCTTTCCCCCAAAGAGTATGCTTACGGTAACTAAACCCCTTTTTATAAGGGATTTGAAACCCTGCCTTCTCTTTGGAAGACAGTGAGTAAAGCCACCGGAGCACTGATTTACAGTTGGTAACTGCAATCGCAAGGCGGACAGAAGATAAGATTAACTCTTGCACATAAAGGCATCACAACATGCCATTTTTTTCCTTATAATAATGATGCACAGGGGAGATCAGATACATGTATGGGAAAACAGAGTACTCACAGCATAATGAATTACAAGATTTGGTCAAAGCCAAACGGTTCCTTATGGATTGTTCCAAACTGATCTTTTGTGTCCTAACTGAATGGTTCCAATTGTAACCACTGGAAAGGCATTTCGCTACTTGTAACCATCCCCTTCTACTGTTAAGTAAGCCAACTACTTTAAGTCATCTGCCTCATCTATGAAAAGAGTGGATAGCTGAATGTGAGGAAACCTCATAGAAACAAAAAATTTCATATCTTTGAGTCACACCAAATTGTTTGGTGGTTTTGTTGGCAAATAAAATTTCAAAGACTCCAACTAGTTTTGGATCAAATAGTGCCAAAGCATCAAGTTATATATAACTACAATGTATGGCGCTGACAAAGAAGTATAAGAGAATGGGAGAAACATTTCTCACCCTTACTCTCTCTAGTCAAGGAGGAAGAATGGACGTGTAACAAAGAGAATAAACATTGAAGATAATGGACTGTATGGGGTCTTGTGTAGGTGATGAGAAGGTGAGTTACCTTGGTTGCCTGAGAGCACCAAGGTAATGGTTTAATATTATTTTTACATTTATAAGTAAAAAAGGGATGATGATGAGGGCTCTGCCTAAGGCCTTTTGAAGTGATAACAACTTGTGGAGTGTGGTTTGATGATTAAAATACTGGTGAAAGTAAGGTTCTCATATGCATGCAAGTCCAACGAAAAGCACACTAAGGTTTGGTGATGGCCCAAAACAGAGACCAATCTTCTTTAGTTTTGCTTGTATATGAAAAGGGAGATGAGAGGAATGGATGGGAGAGGGAGATTGGAGATGGAATACAATATAAAGTTATAAAAACAACTCATGGCCGTTCACTAAGCCTCTCATGAACATGGAAGTCACTAAACCTCCTAAGTACTTTTCCACCACTAAGTGGGATG